TCTGTTCTACAGGTATCCTTACTGGCGGACTCATTGCTACATCATCCTTACTAAAGGTTCCTTATTAAAGTAAGTAGTTCTTTTTAAGGACTCCGTACCAGAGGCATCCGTTCTTAGGGCTCCTATCCAACAAACAAGGAATCCGTACTCAGGACTCCGTACACCAGGACCCTTTGCTAAGGGCCCCAGGCCACAGGTATACTTGCCAAGACCTCTTTACTGAAGAGGTCCTTAATAAAAGAGCATTACTCGGGACTCCTTACTTAAGAACCCTTTCTTACGGATCCCTTACGGACGACATCCTTACGAAGGAGCCGTACTAAAGGTATCCTTGGCAAGTATTTCTTACTCAAGGCAAGCTCAAAGAGGACTCCTCACTAAAGGGATCCTTCCTAAGGACTGCTTACTGAGGCATCCCGAATACTGACTCCTTGACAGAGGGATCCTTACCAAGAGTCCCGACGAATCCTCACGCAGGATTTCTCCCGACAGGGACCTCACGAACGATCGCTTACGAAAGTAAGGGTTCGGACGCCCCCCTCCCCCGTTGCCGCTCCACGCAGGCTCCCCGCACTCCCCTAGAATCCTCCCGCCCGAAGCAGCACAAAGTCTATTCTACTCGCCGCTCGGCAATGCCGCGGCGGAAACGCGACGCAACACTTTCCTGGTGTTCGAGCCGCGTGGCAACGCCTGAAGCCAGAACGCACACTATTCTCTTGTACTCGTCACATGTCTGCGCCTCATAGACCGAGTCGAAGGGTATACCATGATTTAATCGCTTCGCTCATTCCGCCGGCCCTGGAGCCCTCTTTAGGGCCTCTTGGGGACCTCTTGGGAGTCTCTTGGGGCTCCTTGGCGGCGTCTTGGGGGCCCCCAGGGCATCTTGGGGGCCTCTTGGGGACCTCTTGGGGCGGGAGGGGGGGTAGTCGATTGCGGCCCCCCCCTCGGAGGCCACGATCCTCGTGAGGGGTGTCCAAATATTGCCCTGTCTGGCATCTCTGGCCCGACCTTGCCGGGATCCTCCCGGGGACCTCCCGGGACTTGCCCGGGGTATTTGTCGCCCGGGGACCCTCAGGGGCCGCCCCGCGCGCGCGAACTAGAAATATTGTTAACCAGTTACCGGAGATCTTAGCACGCCTCTGGCCCGTTGGGCCGGCGAATTTTCCCCGCGTGGCAACACTGGTCGGAAGTCATATTAGTTTATACTTTTCTTGTCAGGTGGCAGCGCAGGTGGTCATAATCACGTTGCACATTCCATGTCGCTCTACCCATCACATGGCCACGCCCACGCAGGAGTCAGGTGGCCTGCCAGAATGATCCAGAATCTTTGAGATCATTACATGAGACATTCGAATAACCCTCCGTGAATCGTTTGGAACAGGCTTATATTGTAATCGCTACGTGTCGACGCAGTGATACGGAACACGTGCAAGCTTACCTTCGTCAGGTGGCAAGGCAGACGGCGAAGCCGCATGTCGTTTTGCTTACCCATCAAGTGGCAACGCCTGGGCGGTGAGCGATACACGCCATTCTACTACTCGCAACGTGGCAACGCAGGGAGCGGAAACGCACTGATCTACTCGTCACGTGGCAGCGCGCAGAGCGGCGAGCCAAACAACATGCGCCTGCAGTCCACGAGAGGAGAGAAGAGCAGACGGAGCGCAGCACGACTGTGACGCGAGGGCGTGCGGGAACGTCTTTTGTGAGGCGGGGGAGACTGCACCAATCGGAAACTCACCAACATGCGCCATGCTTGCTGAATGAGCGCGCGTCATCACGACGCGAGGATAAGGCTTACGCCATATCCGCCGACCCCTCTATTGACTACTGCGCCGCCAGGACTGCATTCCACGAGGCTTGTCCGAATCTTGACACGGCGCTCGACATCGTTTCTGTTGCCTCGTTGCTGTTATCGTATTTTCTGGGACCCACGCTTCGTCCCGATCCGTTCCCTGGCGGCCCCCGGTCGGCTCGGAGACGGCTTCCCGCTGCACGCCGAGGGGGTCTTGGGGGCCGTTCTAAGGCTTCTTTTGGGCCTCTTGGGGGCTCCTTGGGGCCTCTTGGGTGCCTCACGGGGGCCTCTTAGGGCCGCTTGGGGGCCTCTTGGGTCCTCCGGAGAGCTTCGTTGGGCGGAGCGCTGGAATTCGCGATTCGTGGTCCCTCTGTTGGGCCGTTCTTGGGGCCGTTTTGGAGTTTTTTTGGCCCGTCTAGGGCGCCTCTTGGGCCACGTTGGAGTTGTTTTGGGTTGTCTTTGGGGCCTCCTGGGAGCCTCGTGGGCCGTCTTGGGGTGGTCCTGGGGGCCTCGTTGGGGCCTCGTGGACGGCTTTCAACGCCGTGAAGGCTAACAAGTTGGATATGCTGAACATGCACGTTTTCCAAAAGAAATTTCAAGATTTGGGATTCTCGGGGACTTCTTGGGAGGCCTCTTGGAGGCTTCGTGGGGTGTCTGGGCGGCCTCTTGGGCCGTTTTGAGCTCATCCTGGGCGTCTTGGAACGATCTTTCGGCGACTTTGGGTTCTCGTGGACCGTCTTGGCGGCTTCTTGGGAGGCGTCAAGTGCTGTCGAACAGCTCAAGAGCGAGCCCAGGGAGCCCAGACCGCCCCGGGTGAGTTCGGTCCGGGGGGGCCGTCCCGGGCCTAGGGTGGGAGTCAAAATCCCAGTTTGGAGTCCCTGGGGGGGGATTATGGGAGGGAAAACAATCTCACACGCCTGGAGACCCACAAGGGGTCGGCGGACTACGACGACGACTACGACGACGACGACGATGACGAGAACGACGACGACGACGACGATACTTCGCGCAGATCCACAACAAGGAAGGGGGGTAGCTTCCGAAGCCCCCCCTGCAAGGTCGGCCCAGGCTTACCACCAGCCTTGAAAATGGGGGGAGAGGGGGATAGTTTCGGAAGCCCCTCCCCTCCGTGACCAGCACCCCCTGGCTTCGCAAAGGTCGACTAGACGAAAGAGTAACCTTTCGCCGGAGTGACCTTTGGTGCGGGCTCAGACGGGTTCCCAGATGGCTGAGTGTGAAGCGGTAGCAGCGGCTTGCGCGCCAAGTTTTTGCCACCCCGCGCCTCGTGTTCAGCTGCGCACCAAAGGTGACTCTTATCCAGGGTCAATCTTGCGTGTAGGCGAGAAGGGATTGGGGAGGGGAGTAGCTTCCAAATCTCCTACCCCTTTGAAAGGGCGGCCCAGGCTCACCCTGGAAGCCTTCAGAAGGGGGGGTCTAACATCTGAAGCCCCCCCTTTACAGCAGGGGGAGCGGGGTGGCTTCCGAAGTACCCCCCTTTGCACAGGGCAGCCTAGGCTTACCCCGGCGTCGGAAATGGAGGAGGGGAGGGGCGTCCGAAAATCCCCCATTTTCTTTTCGACGTTCCCAAAGGGAGGGGTATGTAACTTCCGAAGCCCCCCCCCCGTCTTTGCAAGGAGGGGGGTAGCATGAAGGGGATCTGAGAGGCCGGCAGAGCAAGCTATTGAAGGGATGCATACAAAACTGATCTTTTTGCAGGTTTTCTATTAAGGGATTCATTATTAAGGAGCCCTTACTAAAAGGTGTCCTTGGGAGGAGGAGGAGGAGGATGAGGAGGAGGAGGAGGAGGAACAGTAAGAGGAAGGGAATGCGGAGGACAATTGGGTTTAGATTAGCCTCTGCGCTTCGCACTCCCACCACGATCACCTGAGAACGTTTACCTCCTTGGCCAGTTCAGTGTGGCCTGGGGCACGCCCCCTCTCCAGAGCCTCCAGACACTGGAGCCACGTACGTGTGGTGTGCTCGCAATCCTTGACCAGCTTGCCTGTCGTGCGGACGTGGTCAGTGCCCAGACCCCCGCACCCCTCGAGCAGGCGAACCTCAGCGCCTCACGATAGGGGGCCACATGCGAACCCCACCCCTACCCCCCACGATTTCTGAGGGGGAGGGTGGGGATCACTTCGCTCGGGAGCTCCCGAACGAAGTCAACCCCACCCTCCCCCTCAGAAATCGCGGGGGGTAGGGGTGGGGTTCGCATGTAAGCCCTTATCGTGAGCTCCCGCCCCCCGCCTCCCACCACAGCGTAGCGTGAGAGGCGTGCGCCTGCGACGCCCCGCCTGCGAGGCCCCGCCCCCCCAAAGGGGCGCGGGCAGCAGGGCCGACAGTGCCCGGGCGCAGCGCAGAGCTCGCGCAGCTATTCAATTACTGAGCCTACCCCTCCTCCGTCTCCTCCTCCTCCTCCTCCTCCTCCTCGCCATGGGGGGGCCGCCGCCGATCAGTCGGCGATGTATCGCCGATTCTGAGTCGACTTTTCCCTGCTCGCAACGCAGAGCTCGCGGAGCACCTGCTGGCTGGTTCCGACCCGCGCGTACGACAGTGCCAACGACGATGTCGACGACCCGACAACTCTTTGACGCTCAGCAGGTGCGCAGTGTCCCTGAGGGCCGCTGGTAAGTCGAGCTTCGGCCTGGCTGTCCCCTGGGCTGAAGCCCTCTCCTCGTGTCCAACCGAGGGAGGCATACAGGAAATGATGGCGGTCAGTCTCTTCCTGATGCTCGCCTCAGACTCCAGCTCCTTGATAGACTCGGCAATTCCAAAGGGCGCTTGAGCGTCAGGGGAACACCTGTTGGCTGACGTAGCCAGATCATCAAACGCGGAAGGCGCGCGCTGCTCTGGGCTGGACAGGGGGAGGAGGACCTCCCCTATCCTCCCTCACCTAGCAATGGTGGTGGAAAATTGGCCCAGCAGAGCTGGCCCTCCTGCCAGCTCAGGGCTCATTTCGATTCTTCCGACTTGTGCTCGATTCGTTTTTGGTGGTTTCCGATTCCGAATCGATTCGACTTGGGGTTCCGATTTGGCTCCGATTTCTTGATGGAGGCCTGCTGGACCGCCGACTTCCGCCGAATCGACTTTTCCCGACTCGGCCGCCGATCTCCGCCGTTCCGATTGGCTTCGATCGCCGATCCGACTCGTCGATTCGACTCTGGGGGCGCCTGCCAGCTCTCCTCCCCCCCTTGCCGCCGATGCGCAGAGGCCGCTGCGCCGGCCGCCGCGGCCACCGAGGGCGGCAAGAAGGCCGAGCGCCCCCCGCCGTGGTGCGGCCGTGGTGTCCTGGCGGCAGGCAGAACGTGCCAGGGCGACCTCTCTTCACCGAGCGCGTTCCATTCTTCGCAAGTTGCCGATTCGCAAGCGTCAGAGGAAAAAACAACAGGTTTGCCTCCATGTCAGGGATAGTCAATCCCCCGGGGTGGATCCAGGCCACTTGCGAGTGGGCACTTGCGAGTAGTGGGACGCGCTTGTCTATCGAAGACGCCCACGGCGAATCACCGCCGCCCCCTGCCTCTCTGGAAGCGCCTATGTGGCCGAACGTGGAGGCCAGACCTGCCAAGCTATCGGACCATGTGTTCCCCGAATCGGTTTGGAAAGCCTTCGGGGAGCACGTGGGCATCTTGAAGGTCATCTTGGCCGTCTGGAGGCCATTTTGACCCTTTCAGGCCTTCTTGGAGGACGTCTTGGAGGGCTCTTGGGCCGTCTAATCACTGATTTTGGCTTTTTCGGGCCTTCTGGAGGCCCTCTTGGAGGCCTCTTGGGCCGTCTTGGGTCATCTTAGGGCCATCTTCGGCCGTCTTGGTGGGCTCCTGGCCCGTCTGACGCCGTCGGAAGCTGTTTTAGGGGCCTCTCTGGGCCGACCTGGGGCCCTCTTGGAATGCTCCAGGGCCGTCTTGGAGGCCATCTTGGGGGCCTCTTGGGCCGTTCTAGGGCCACCTTGGAGGCCTCTTGGGCGACCTTTGGGCGATCTTTGGGGGCTCTTGGGCCGTCTCGGGCCGTCGGAAGGCCAAAAAGAAGCAAATGTCAAAATCTTCCAAAAACCTATTGAACATATGTTTTTTTTGGTTGCCTGTTCCGGCCTTCCTGGAGGCCCTCTTGGAGGCCTCTTGGGCCATCTTGGGCCAGCTTCGAGCCAACTTCGGCCTTCTTGGTGGGTTCCTGGCCCGTCTGACGCCGTCGGGAGCGGTCTTGGGGGCCTCTCTGAACCGGCTTGGGGCCTTCTTGGGGCGCTTCGGGGCCGTCTTGGAAGCCATCCTGGGCGTCTTGGAGGCCTCTTGGCCCGTCTTGGGGCCCTCTTGGGGCCGTCTTGGGGGCCTCTTGGGCCGTCATGGGGCCATCTTGGAGGCCTCGTGGGCGATCTTGGGGCGATCTTGGGGGCCTCTTGGGCCGTCTTGAGCCGTCGGAAGGCCGAAAAGAAGCAAATGCCAAAATCTGTCAAAACCCTGAGGAAATCAATGAGTTTGGCCTCTTCGGGCCCTGGGCGAACTTGGAGGTATCTTGTACTCTCTTGGGCCGTCATGGAGGTCGTCTTGGACCATCTTGGGCGGACTTGGAGGCCATCTTGGAGGCCATCTTGGGCCAACGTGGCCATCTTGGAGGCCATCTTGGGCCATCTTGAGCGAAACATTTGGGAATTGCGCTCCTTGAAGATCGTCCCGGGACCCCAGCGGGACGCGCCGGAGCCCCAGGGGGAGTTCTTTTGGAAAAGAACCAAAACCAAAACCGAAAGGGTTCAGCACGCCAGGCACCCCTGTGATGAATCAACAGGGGGCGGCGGATGACGGAAAGCGCGCGTAACGTGCGATCCGTTAGTCAGAAGGAATTAATTAGGGGGAGTGTGAGGGGGTGGCCTCTGCACTGCGCAGGGAAAATGGGGTCTAATGGCCCGCCTTTTTCCCTGTTAGCGGAGCCCTTAACATGGAAATTCGGGTGAAAAATTGGCCCGCCCGTTTCCCTGGTAACGGACCGTTAACAGGGATATTTTTCGTTCGGGCAATTTTTTCCCTTGTTAACGGAGCCCTTGACAGGGAACATCGGGCGCTTCACAGAGAACATCCACCCCTTTTCCTTGTTAACGGAGCCCTTAACATGGAACATCGGGTGCTTAACACCGAAAAAACAGGGTTACACGCTCAGACATATTTTTCCTTGTTGACGGAGCCCTGAACAGGGACTTAACAGGGAAACAACTCCGGTGACGGACGCGTTGTTCCCTGTTAGCGGACCGTTGACAGGTAAAAGAGTTCCTTGTTAACGGACCGTTCACGCACCCTGAACACCGCGGGTCCCAAGAGCGAGCAGTGACGTAAACAAGCTGATAAGACCAAGGCTCCCAACAGAGAGCGGTGACGTAACCAGTTCTTGACACCAGGGCCCGAAACGGGCGGCAACGTAAGCTCCGCGTAAGCTCCGCGTAGGCTTCGCGTAAGCGCGTAAAGTCCTCGTCAATTTGAGGTACCTTCAAGACAGTCCATGAGAGGCCAAGCGTCCTCCAAGACGGTCCAAGACGCCTCCAAGACGACCCAAGAGGCCAGAGGCCCGTAAGATCGCCCCAGGGTGGCCCAAGCTACCCCCAAAGACGGCCCCAAGACGTGTTCGAACATCTGCACGTATGCAGACGGTTTCAACGGCCTCCACGACGGCGTAGAGAGGCCCAGACGGGCACGAGGACGGCCCAAGAGCGATCCAGATAGCCCACGACGGCCTTAATGCGGCTCAAGAGGTCTCGAAGACCCCCCCTTGAGCACCGATTGGCAGTCTAAGCGGGAACAACAAAAAACGAAAGTAGGGCTTTCGCCGCCCGGGGGGCGCCCTGGGCCCCGCCCTACCTGCATAAGCTCCTCGCCAGCTGAAGGCACCTCCAAGACGGCGTGAGAGAGGCCCGGACGGGACCAAAGACGGCCCCAGAGCGATCCAAGATAGCCCATCCAAGATGGCCTCAGCACAGCCCAAGAGGCCTCCAAGACACCCCAAGCGGCACCCGAGAGGACCCCCAGACGTGCTGAAACCATGTTGCCTTCAGGTGTATGAAGGTTGTCCAGCTCCTCGCCTTTTCGGGCAAGAACGGCCCGATACAGCTCCAGAGCAACCCGAGATTGTGCCATGACGGCCCCAGAGGCTCCCAAGAGAGCTAGAGGACGGCCTAAAAGGGCCCCAAGAGGGCCTAAGAGAGCCACAAGACGGCCCAAGGAGGGCCTGGGAGACGCCCAAGATGCTCCCACGAGACAGTATGTCGTCGTCATCATCATCAAAAGTATGATCCTACTCATCATTCGTGTTTTATCGCGCTCTAGTGCCTTCCCAAGATACCAACACGCCCTGGCCCCTCCTCAAGAGGCCTCGTGCAGCTTCGAGATAGCCCTAGAGGGCACCCAATATGCCACCAAGATGCCCCAAGAGAGCCTCCAGACGGGGAGACAGAGAGAAAGAACGGGCAAGCCAGCTGTACGAAACGTGCCAATGGACGTGCCACGGGACGTGCCAGGGGACGCGCTGCGCGACGTTCCAGGGGGACTCGCCACGGGACGCGCCACGGAACGTGCCAAGGAACGTGCCAGGTTGCAATGTTGAGTGTATCGATCTTGACGTACCGTGCCGAGGGCTGTGCTGTGCTGCACCGTGTTGAACTGTGATGTGCCATGCCGCGATTGTGCTCTATAGCGTTGTGGATCGAGTCCTCCTTTGCATCCGAGTCCCGACCGAATTGATCTGGATCTTCAGCTCGAGCTGCCTCAGCACATAGTAGCTGCCCCAGGGCTACTTGACAGGGGAATATGCCAGGAGGACGCGCCGCGGATCGTCCCAAGGGACGCGCCAGGCGACGTGCCAAGGGACGTGCCACGAGGACGCACCGCGGGACGTGCCGAGGGGACGAGATACGGCACGTCCCAATGGAGGTGCCACGGGACGTGCCAGGGGACGCGCCGCGCGACGTGCCAGGGGGACTCGCCACGGGACGCGCCACGGAACGTGCCAAGGAACGTGCCAGGTTGCAATGTTGAGTGTATCGATTTTGATGTACCGTGCCGAGGGCTGTGCTGTGCTGCGCCGTACTGAACTGCGATGTGCCATGCCGCGATTGTGCTCTATAGCGTTGTGGATCGAGTCCTCCTGTGCATCCGAGTCCTGATCGAACTGATCTGGATCTTCAGCTCGAGCTGCCTCAGCACATAGTAGCTGCCCCAGGGCTAATTGACAGGGGAGCATGCCAGGAGGACGTGTCGCGGATCGTCCCAAGGGACGCGCCAGGCGACGTGCCAAGGGACGTGCCACGGGGACGCACCACGGGACGTGCCGAGGGGACGCGCTGCGGCACGTGCTAATGGACGTGCGACGGGACGTGCCAGGGGACGCGCCGCGCGACGTGCCAGGGGGACTCGCCACGGGACGCGCCACGGAACCTGCCAAGGAACGTGCCAAGTTGCAATGTTGAGTGCATCGATCTTGATGTAACGTGCCGAGGGCTGTGCTGTGCTGCGCCGTGCTGGACTGCGATGTGCCATGCCGCGATTGTGCTCTATAGCGTTGTGGATCGAGCCCTCTTTAGCATCCGAGTCCTGACCGAATTGATCTGGATCTTCAGCTCGAGCTGCTTCAGCACATAGTAGCTGCCCCGGGGCTAATTGACAGGGGGACATGCCAGGAGGACGCGCCTTGGTAGATCACCTTGGATGGCCTGGACACCTAAACACACATGGTGCCAGCTCGGGAAACCATGTTAGGCACACCCCGGAATAGCCTGGACATGATACCGAAGAAAACCCAATCAGGGCTATAGGGCTAGGGGGCTATAGGGCTATAGGGCTATAGGGCTATAGGGCTATAGAGCTATAGGGCTATAGAGTTGTAGGGCTATAGGGCTATTGGGCTACAGGGCACCCCCGGGCACCCCCAGGCACCCCCGGGCACGCCCGGGCACCAGGGCACCCGGGCACCCGGGCACCCGCGGGCACCCCCGGGCACCCGGGCGTGCCGCGAAAATCGGTGGCAAACCTGACATAACCTTATGAATATTGAGCTACCTATAGGGCTATAGAGCTATAGGTCTATAGAGTTGTAGGGCTATATAGGGCTATTGGGCTATTGGGCTATAGGGCTACATGGCTATACGCCCGGGCACCCGGGCACCCGGGCACCAGGGCACCCGGGCACCAGGGCACCCGGGCACCAGGGCACCCCCAGGCACGCCCGGGCACCCGGGCACCCCCGGGCACCCCCGGGCACCCCCGGGCACCCCCGGGCACCCCCGGGCACCTCCGGGCACCCCCGGGCACCCCCGGGCACCCCCGGGCACCCGGGCACCCGGGCGTGCCACGAAAATCGGCGACGAGCCTAACTTAACCATATGAATCCGCTAGGACCCCTACAGAGGCAAGCTCTGATTGGGGAAAACACGTGACCCTTGCTCAGAACAATCCTGTTAGATGCCCCTTTGGGTGGCCTGGATACGCAAAAGCACGTGGTTCAAGCTCGGGACAACCATGTTAGATACCCCTTGGGTGGCCTGGACACGTGAAACCATCTGTTTCCAGCTCGGTGCCACCATGTTAGATACCCCCTGGGTGGCCTGCACACGTAAAAACACGTGGTCCATCCCACCCAGGGGGGATATCTAACATGCGGTCGTCTGGAGCGCAGGAGGGCTCAGGAACGCCCAGAGGCGCCTGGAGGGCAAAACATCAACGAATCGATACCACATACAAATAAACTCTCGACGTTCCGTTCCGAGTCCCAGAAAGGATCCAGGAGTTCCATGTTAGATACCCCTTGAGTGGCCTGGACACGTGAAAGCACGTGGTTCAAGCTCGGGACCACCATGTGAGATACCCCCCTGGGTGGCGTGGACACTTGAAAATACACGGTTCCAGCGCAGGACCACCATGTTAGATACCCCCTGGGTGGCGTGGACACGTAAAAACACGTGGCTCCAGCTCGGAACCACCATGTTAGATCCCCCCTGGGTGGCGTGGGCACGTGAAAACACGTGGCTCCAGCTCGGGACCACCATGTTAGATACCCACTTGGGTGGCTCGCACACATGAAAATACGTGGTTCCAGCGCGGGACCACCATGTTGGATATCCCCTGGGTGGCCTGGACAGGTGAAAACACGTGGTTCCAGCTCGGGACCACAATGCTAGATACCTCATGGGTGGCTTGGACACGTAAAAGCACGTGGTTCCAGCTCAGGACCACCATGTTAGATACCCCCCTAGGTGGCGTCTGGGCGATCTGTGCACGTGAAAACACGTGGTTCCAGCGCGGGACCACCATCTTAGACACCCCCTGGGTGGCCTCGACAGGTGAAACACGTGGTTCCAGCTCGGGACCAACATGTTAGATGCCCACCTGGGTGGCCTGTACACGTGAAAACACGTGGTTCCAGCGCGGGACCACCATGTTAGATACCCCCCTCTGGGTGGCGTGGACACGGGAAAACGTGGCACCAGCTCGGGACCACCATGTTAGACACCCACCTGGGTGCCCTGGACACGTGAAGCGACGTGGCTCCAGCTCGGGCAGAACATGGTAGATACCCCCCTGTGCGGCCAAGGAAATCCTGGACAAACAAGCGAAATAGTCGAGACATCCTCGAACTTCCTGCGCGCGGGACGCGGCACGCGCGAGACATCCTCGGAATTCCTGCGCGCGGGATGCTTTTCCGCGTCGCGGTCGGGGCTCCAGACCTTGGTTTTTGTTCGAGGATTCTGCTAACAATGCCCCCGCACCCTCCGAGAGGGGGGGGCACATTTTCCTCGAGCGGGCACGCGAGAAACGCACTTGTTCAACTGAAAATTCACGCTTCCGCCGGCCCACCTCCCGTAGGGGCCGGGGGGAAAACTTCTTAACAGAGAACCCTGGGCCCGCGCCCTTTCCGGGAACAAAACTAAAAGAGAACCCTGGGACCACGCTCTTTCCAGGAAAAAGTCATGCGGGAAGCCCCGGGGGAAGCCAGAGGGCTCGCGACAAGTCCCACCAAATCTGGCAACTTTGGGTCTGGGATCGTTCGACTCCTCAGGACCTGAGGACTGAGGCGCCGGGCATTAGGCAAAGGATCTGAGGACACGCCCACTCCGTGCCAACGGGCACGGTGTCGGATATGTAGACCCTTGCACATTTCTAAGGAGCAGTGCTCAAACTATCCCTTACCGAAGGACGGCCGTCTCGCCCGCCCCCTCCTCGGCCAGGCGGGAGCGTTTGCCGCTGCCGCCGCCTCCTCGGCCAGGCGGGAGCGTTTGCCGCTGCCGCCGCCTCCATTTATCTTTGATTATCCGAACCGTTATCGAGCACGCTCATTGCGAAGCCGCGCGTCGCATCATCACCCTTGACAGAAATGCGACGTCCTGAATGTTTGACTTTCTCAGAGCACGGTCCCTGGAAGTCCCGTCCCTCTTTCCTCGGGGCCAATTTGCTGCCAATCCGAGTCGTTATTCGACGGTCCCGGGGCTTGGGGGGGAGGGCCCCAAGAGGCCTCCACTATGGCCCCAGGACGGCCGAAGAGGCCCCCAAGACGGCGCCAAGAGTGCCCCAAGACGGCCCAAGAGGCCTCCAGGACGCCCTAGATGGCCTCCAAGATCGAGCTGCCGAAAACTATGAAACGCCTCCCGCCCTGACTTTCGCCACGGTGCGGGCCTGTCTGGCTTCGCCTCCTCCTCCCTTCGCCCTCGCCTCGCCCCCCCCCCCCCCGCCACCCTCGCCACCTCTTCCCCCACCCCCCCCCGCCGCGCTGGACCTCTTCGCGCCGCGGTGCCCTGGCCGCGGCAGGCAAAGGCGCGCAAGAAGGCCGCCCTCGCGGCGCCGAGGCGAGCGAAGAGGAGGCCAGAAGGCGTGCCCCCCTCCACGTGGTATTGTAGTGGCCTCTGGCCAGTGCCGCCAGTCCGTGGCGCTCCCGACGGTGCTCGGGCTTGCTTGGAGGCCTACGGGGCCGTCTTGAGGCTCTGTTGGGGCCGTCGTAGGAAGGGGTCTCTGGAGGGGGTCTTTGAGCCTCTTGGGGCTTCTTGGAACCCTTTGTTTGCGGTCTTAGGGCGTTCCTGGCCCGTCTGAAGCCGTCTTGGGCGCCTCGCTGTGCCGTCTGGGAGCATTCTGGCGGCGCCTCAGGGCCGTCTTGGAGGCTATCTTGGCCGTCTTGGGGGCCTCTAGGCCGTCTTGGGGCCCTTTTGGGGCCGTCTGAGGAACCCCTGGGGCTGTCAGAGGGCCATCTTAGAAGCCTCTGGGGCGATCTCGGGGGCCTCTGGGGCCGTTGGAAGGCTGAAAAGAACGAAGCGTCCAAATCCTTCAAAAGCATGTAAAATCAATGATTTGGGCCTCATCGGGCATTTTTTGGAGAACATCCTGGGCCATATTGGGGTCATTTTGAGCCGTCTTGGCCGTCTGGCCTCCCAGGGTGAGAATGTGGCCGATTGTTACCTGTCCCAGCCCCGCCCAGAAAGCGGAGCGCAGGAACACACCGCCCCCCCCCCCCCCCCCACACACACACAAACACCCCTTCCCCAGGCAGAGCCCCCCCGGCCCCCCCCCCCTAGCAGAGCTGAAGCAGTTCGGTCTGCAGGCTGTAGCTCAGGCCCTTTGAGAAACTCACACGCCGGATCGGCGGCCTTCTGGGCCGCTCGCGTGGGGTCGACCAGGCGGGCCCAGGATCGGTAGGATCAAAAGTGGTGCGGAAAGAATGGGCACGAAGACCGACAGCAGTTCCTGCTCATCTTGAACAGGTTTCGCTGCCAGTGTCGCCGCGGACGTTGTCCATTTGAGACAAGAAGTAGCCTGCCCAACAGCGGCCGCTGTCGATTTTGAACAACATGTGATGTTGACAGATCGTTCCAGGGAGTTCGGGAACGCTCTCAGAGCGTTCCATAGCGCTCTGGAACGGCCGCGGTGTGTGAGATACATCCTCAGGAGCCGCCAGATCTCAGAGATTCGGATTCGCCCTGATCCGATATTGTCCAAGTCCAGGCTTCGTCCTTGTCGAAGCTGATGTCGGTCTGGGCCCACCAAGCGGTGTGATGACCACACCGTGTGGTGAGCCAGTGGATTCGGGATGGCCGCACAGTTTTGAGACTCGTGTCGTTCTCCGAGGACGTCTCGGATAACTGGGGCCTCCGCACGGTGACGGACAGTGCGGTGAGATCCTCAGGGAGTTCAATGTCACCGCAAGGTCTGTCACCGCACCAGTTTGGGATTCCCAAAACATGGGGTCGGTGAGTCGAGCCGCATCGCCGACGCATCGGCGATGCGGCTCGATGTGGAGCCCCGATCTTCTCCACGCCGACGCAGCACCGATGCATCGGGAGGGGAACATCATAACACCATCGACATTCAAGAGCGTTGGGCAATCGGTGCCGTGCCACTCTTTCATGGTGGCCAGGGCCGCCTGGCCGCGGCATCTGGTGTACTGGCGCCTGCAGTCGGTCAGAGCATGCCTGTAGAGGAGGGCGGCGGACGGGGGAGGAGGGGGCGGAGGGTCCCCGCGCGTGTTGTCCTCACGCGCCAACTGCTTCTCCTTCGCCAGACAGTCCAGCGAAGCTCGCAACCACTCGCAGTCGCACCGCCCGTGGCCCTGCGTTCGTGGAGAGTGAGCCGGGTCCTCTCGCACTCGGGGACCCGTGCCTCTCTGGCGGCCGCCAGGGGGTCGAAAAGCAGCCCGCAGAGCTCCCCGAAGCTTCGAGCCTCGATCCGCCGATCCCTCGATCCGTCGACCCCTCCAGCCGCCTCCAAACTTCGAGAGCCTCGAGCCCTCTGCCCTCGAGCCCTCGAGCCCTCGAGCCCTCGATCCTCGGCCCCTCGGCCCCGCGAGCCCTCGACCCCTCGATCCTCTCCTGGCCTTCCAGAGGGGGCCCGAGCAGCTGGGGTCGGAGGATCGCGCCGCTTCGCCGATGCATCGGCCCGGTGCGGAGCCCCAACTCCTCCACGCCGGCGGCGACGAGGCATCGCTGGCGTCGCCGAGGCATCCCCCACGCATCGGCGATGCAGGCGGCGCGATCCTCCGGCCCCATGCTGGGCGGGCCCCCTCCGGGAGGCCTCGCGCCTCCGAGCCCTCGGCCCTGCTCCTCGCGGCGCGGCGCCGCAGCGCCGCAGCGCCCCCGCGCAGGCGCCCCGCCGGGCGGCGCCAGGGCGGGCGGGCTCCCGAGGGACCCCGGCGCAGAGGCGGACGCCGCCTCCTCCTCCTCCTCCTCCTCCTCCTCCTCCTCCTCCTCCTCCTCCTCCTCCTCCTAGCTCCTCCTCCGCCTCTTCCTCCTCCTCCTCGCCAAGAGGTCACGGGCGGCGGACGGATCCATCTCCGCGCCCTCGCGGTCTGGATTCCGTGGTGCGATCCCGCGGATGCGCGGCCGCACGCGTGCGTTCCGCGCAGGGCATCCGCGAGAGAAGACGCCCCGCACCCGCGGGGTTGCGGCCAAGGGGCCCGGCCCGCGATGCCGCGGATACGGATGTGTGTGTGTGTGTGTGTGTGTGTGCTCGCTCGCGAAGACGGGGGACGTTTCGTGTTCGAGGCTCCGGTCAGGAGCGTCTGGCTTCGTGTGCCGCTCCGCGGCTTCTGGCTCCGCTGCTTCTGGCTGATGCGCTGACCACTTCCCGGTCCCCAGGCGTCCATGTCCGGAGCTTCTCCGAGCTTCTCCAGGCCCCACGCCCCGCTGAGCGGAGCAACACTCAGGGGAGGAAACGGTACCCACACCTCTACCCTCCCCTCGTGTTCCCCTTTCTGGGCCTCCTGGGCATCCGTCGTCGCCACCGCTGGACTCGCCTCGAAACCCTGGTCAGAACGCGCCCCAGGAGAGGTCCGGCGAGTAGCGGCATCGGTACCTTTTGGTTCCCCCAAGCGCACCATCCGCTCGCAGCGACACGCTATCCGTGGGACCGCCGCCGCGGCAGGTGGCTCTGGAGGCGAAGCCAGGCTCCCTTCATCAAGGAGCAACGCTACGGACCTGCGACCACTCGCGAACCCTGCCCCTGCGGGTCCACTCGCCGCTAGGGTATCGGCCACCCCCGCTGGGGTTCACTTGGCTGCAGGCATCCCTCGAATTCTGAGCCCCAACCGATCTTTGACAGATCTGACCTGGCGGGGTAGGATTCCATGTTGTAGTGGAACGACGGTTCCCACACGTTTGTGTCGGCGTTCGGCGGTTTTCCAGCCTGCTTGTGCTTTCCGGCAGTTGTGCCTCGCCGAGAGCGTTCCGGGGGGGATCTTTCCGAACGGCCGCCGGGGTGCCGAGTTATGACCCGAGGGCAACGACAAGGGGGGGGACTGGCTCAGGGTGGGATGCATCGACCCCGATCGCCTATGCATCGCCGATGTGGGCCCGATAGCCGACCCCGCCCAGGTACATGAGAATTCGTTTACTGGGGCACATCGCGGATGTATCGGCGATCTGTCGCCAATTCTGGGTCGATGTCCCCCCCCCCCTGAGCCAGTCCCGCTCTCTCTTTTCCCTCACTCCAGGGGCGGCGTGACGGGAAAGCACGCTGAGATCCTAGCGTCACATTTTTGTTCGCACCGAGCGATCTCGTAATGCCTTCACGGACCGATCCAGCTCGAGACATGCCGCAGAACGGTGCGATTCCGTTCGTGATTTTTCGTGACGTAGATTTTTATTCGTGCCGTCGGATCTTTTGGGAGGTCAGGGGCGACAAGAGGGCCGACTGGGGGGGAACGGCCCATGGGGAGGAGGAGGAGGAGGAGGAGGAGGAGGAGGAGGAGGAGGAGGAGGAGGAGGAGGGCAGGGGAGGGAGGAGGAGGAGGAGGAGGAGGAGGGGAGGAGGAGGGAGGAGGAGGAGGAGGAGGAGGAGGAGGAGGAGGAGGAGGAGGAGGAGGAGGAGGAGGAGGAGGAGGAGGAGGAGGAGGAGGAGGAGGAGGAGGAGGAGGAGGAGGAGGAGGAGGAGGAGGAGGAGGAGGAGGAGGAGGAGGAGGAGGAGGAGGAGGAGGAGGAGGAGGAGGAGGAGGAGGAGGAGGAGGAGGAGGAGGAGGAGGAGGAGGAGGAGGAGGAGGAGGAGGAGGAGGAGGAGGAGGATGAGGGGGCAGGAGGAGGAGAGGAGGAGGAGGAGGAGAGGAGGAGGAGGAGGAGGAGGAGGAGGAGGAGGAGGAGGCGATTTGGAGGAGGAGGAGGAGGGGAGGAGGAGGAGCAGGAGGAGGAGGAGGAGGAGGAGGAGGAGGAGGAGGAGGATTGGATTTGGAGGAGGAGGAGGAGAGGAGGAGGAGGAGGAGGAGGAGGAGGATGGGGGAGGGGGAGGGGAGGAGGAGGGGAGGAGGAGGAGGAGGAGGAGGAGGAGGAGGAGGAGGAGGAGGAGGAGGAGGAGGAGGAGCATGAGGAGGAGGAGGAGGAGGAGGAGGAGGAGGAGGAGGAGGAGGAGGAGGAGGAGGAGGAGGAGGAGGAGGAAGGGGAGGGAGGGGGAGGGGGAGGGGGATGGGGGGTGGAGGAGGAGGGAGGAGGAGGAGGAGGAGGAGGAGGAGGAGGAGGAGGAGGAGGAGAGGAGGAGAGGAGAGGAGAGGAGAGGAGAGGAGAGGAGGTGGGGAGGAGGAGGAGGAGGAGGAGGAGGAGGAGGAGGAGGAGGAGGAGGAGGAGGAGGAGGAGGAGGAAGGAGGACCACCAGTGTAAACCCAAGAGGCATCAACGATGTTGGAATAGACCCTCCCTCCAAGCTCCCTCTTCATAGGCCCCTACAACGTTTCATTTCCATTGAAGGAACTGACTCTTTGAAAGACAACCGTTTGAAGACCCTGGAGCATGCCAAAACAGTGTTCTCGGGATTCCAGCTTCACTGATCAACCTGACTGCTGCATCTTGACCATCCAGAACTGTACCAGAACGCCATTCTTGGGACTTCAACACAGCGGATCAACATAACTGTTGCAACAGCATGATCCGGAATCCTTAGAACACACCATTTCGGGCACGTTGATGATGGGAATCCATGGGACTCTAGCAATTTGTTTAAACGAATGTGCGCCGCGCTAAGGCGAGAGCCACATTTTGAAAAGCAGCCGCCCTCAATCAGTGAAGCTCTTACAATTGGTTAAACCAATGTGCGCCTCGCAAAGGCGAGGGCCCCATTTTGAACAGAAACCGCCCTCAATCCGTGAAGCCCTTGCAACTTTTAGAACAAATATGCGCCGTCGTAAGGCCAGGGCCACATTTTGAAAACGGCCCGCCTTCAATCGGCGCAACTCTTGCAAGCATTTCAAATGAGTGTGCGCGGTGCTAAGGCGAGAGCCACATTTTGAAAGCCACCCGCCCTCAATCCGCGAAACCCTTGTAAAGTTTCAAAAGAAAGTGCGCGGCGCTAACGCGAGAACCACATTTTGAAAGCCACCCGCCCTCAATCCGTGAAGCTCTTGCACATGTTTAAAACGAATGTTCGTCGCGCTAAGGCGAGAGCCACACTTTGAAACCGACTCGCCCTCAATCCGTGACACCTTTTCAAATGTTTAAAACGAATGTGCGCGGCGCTAAGGCGAGCGCCACATTTTGAAAACCACCCGCCCTCCATTTGTGAAGCCGTTGTCACTTTTTAAGGTTCAGGGCCATACGTGGTGAGGAAGTCTCGGGCGGAACGCCTGGTCTGCCCTAACATTTGGCCTCGGGGTGCGAGCGGGAGAAGTGATTTGTAAGGAAAGAAATGGAAGAGGAGGAGGAGGAGGACGAGGAGGAGTAGGAGGAGTAGTATGAGGAGGAGGAGGAGGAGGAGGATGAGGAGGAGGAGGAGGAGGGGGATGGGGGGAGGAGGGGGATGAGGATGGGGAGGGGGAGGAGGAGGAGGAGAAGGAGGAGGAGGAGGAAAACCACCAGTGTAAACCCAAGAGGCATCAACGATGTTGGAATAGACCCTCCCTCCAAGCTCCCTCTTCATAGGCCTTTACAACGGTTCTTTTCCATTGAAGGAACTGCCTCTTTGGAAGACAACCGTTTGAAGACCCTGGAGCATGCCAAAACAGTGTTCTCGGGATTCCAGCTTCATGGATCAACCTGACTGTTGCATCTTGACCATCCAGAACCGTGCCAGAACGCCATTCTTGGGACTTCAACACAGCGGATCAACATAACTGTTGCAACAGCATGATCCGGAATCCTTTGAAAACACCAATTCGGGCACGTTGATGATGGGAATCCGTGGGACTCTAGCAGTTTGTTTAAACGAATGCGCGCCGCGCTAAGGCGAGAGCCACATTTTGAAAAGCAGCCGCCCTCAATCCGTGAAATTCCTGCGAATGTTTGGAACGACTGCGCGCCTCGCAAAGGCGAGAGCCACACTTTGAACAGACACCGCTCTCAATCCGTAAAGCTCTTGCAATTTGTTAGGACGAATGTGCGCCGCGCTTAGGCGAGAGCCACACTTTGAAAACGAACCGCCCTCAATCCGTGAAGCTCTTGCAAACTCTTGCAACGAATGTGCGCCGCGCTAAGGCAAGACCCACATTTTGAAAACGGCCGCCCTCCCAACATAGAAGTAACGCCCGAGCCTGAGCGTGTTCAGCGGTCGTCTTTGGATGGGCAGCTACTGGGAACTAAAGCCGACCCCAGGTGCGCGACTCTTGGGCGAGGTGCGCCACGCGTGCCAGGGGCGCCACGCGCACCAGGCGCCCCTGGGGCCCGAGCGTGCCAGGCACGCCTGGTGCGCCACGTGCTCCGAGTGCGCCAGGTGTGCCGCACACTCCAGCCGCGCCAGGTGCGCCATGTTCGGGGCATGCGCAGAGTGCGTCAGGTGCACCTGCGCATGTGACAGCACACATCGGGAAACATGTCGGCCCCTGCTTTCCTTGTCGAAGATCAATGCCCATTATTGTGTCTGGTGGGCTTGCGCACAGCAGGCCGCGCGCCACCATCCCCGCCGTCCCTGTCAACAACCATTCGACAGTGATCGCGGGATGGCCGCGCACGATCCAGATTTAGCCGCGAGGTGCATCTTGTATTGTTTTTGTCAGGGATGGTCTCCCTGGGCACGGCAGGGAATATGCTGGCACCCTCGCCGTCCATGTCGAACGCAAAACAAAATGTTTGCGGGCTTCACGAACATGACTCAAGACTTTGCCCCACAGTGTGTATTTTGCATTGTTTTTAGACAGAGATGGTGGGGGGGGCCGCATCAGGTTGGCCGCGCATGCTCCACAGATGGAGGCAGAGTGCAGTTTTGTACAATTTTTGATGGGGATGGTGGGGGCCGGGTCCTCATGGAGTCGGCATGGTTCCTGGTTAGACGCCGGCCGGATGGGAGAGGGGTGGTGTATTAATAAGGCACAGTGATGCACCGCTCACCGAACGGGAAAAGTGGCAGGTGGAAGACAAACCACCCTCGACCACATACGCCCTACAAGGCTGGTGGGATTCGGCAAAACGGGCCTCCCGCGCCGCATTTAGAAATCATCCGAACGCCCTTGCGCGCGTGCTGGGGGGCACGATCCGTGTCAAATAATACAGTGCGTGCCACTGTCGCGCGTCGGCCGCGCGCATGTCGAACTCCTTCCAAAATCTTCATCACCGACGGGAGGACGCTGGCATCGTAGTCGGCGTGATTCGCATCGGCGCCGTCACTGGCCTTGCCGTCGTCGTTGTCACCATCGTCACCAGCATCGCTGCGATCATCCTCGTGTCTACCGTTGTCGACGTTGCCATGATATCGCGCCCGCCCAAGTCGCCGCCTCGCACTGAACTCCCCGATGGGAAATGCCCAGCGGTCAGCGCCAGCGGCCGCGTCGGTCGCGCCAAACTAGCTGGCCGCTGCGCGCGCGAGCATGCGCGGGCTAGCGCGGCCGCCGAGATGCACCAACCCACACCCAATACTCATCGCAATCGCCGCCGCCTGGGTCTTGCAAACTAAATTGCTGGTGGATGGGTGAGATGATTGTGTGGGCAGTGGGGTTGACCGTTTCAGGTTAGGCATTATGAGCTGCACCACGTAGCTTGCGCTACATCTGCTGCACCACCGATATTACACCACAGTCATTGGACCACATAAACTGCGCCACACAGATTGCCCCACATGGTTGGCACCACATCTTCTTGCACCATGTAGCTTGCACCGCGTACTTTGCTCAACATAGACGGCACCACATAGCTGTCACCACATATATTATCCTTTCTACAAGGAATAATAGACCCTACCCCCTGGAGTTAACTATCCCCCTTGGGGTATTGTGATGTCATGCATGTTCAAATCCACACACATGTCCATCCTAAATATGACCTCGTATTATCCCAGCCAAACCGGTATCATTCCCCCCGCCATCCTTTGCAACAAATGCTTTGCGCGCACTCTCGTTTATCAAAAATCACAAGTTCCTACTCGTCCCTTGCAAAATATGAGACGAAGTGCGCACGCGCGCGTCGTTGCGCGCGCATGCCGACATCCTTCAATAACTTTTTGTTTCGGAAGGACTTTGAAATCGAATTTCCAAAAACCATACAACAACACATGGTATGGCAACACGAATTTTCAAAAAAAAACTCACGCGCGCTCCTGCGAAAACTTTAGCAAACCATAGGTTTTACAATATTTTCCAAAACAAATACTACCAAACGGGCTTCGCGCGCGCGTGTCGAAATGTTTCGAACGCCCTTGTGCGCGTGCCGTTGCGAGAATCCCCTGCAACAAATGGGACGAAGTGTAGACGCGCGCGTCGTCGCCCGCGCATGTCGAAATCCTTCAAAAACCGTTGGTTCCGGAACGATGTCAAAATCGTGTGTCCAAAAAACATACAAAAACACAAGGTTTTGCAACACGGATTTTCATTAAACGCGTGCGCGCGAGCTTTTGCGTCGTCGTCGTCGTCGCCGTCTTCCCTCCTCCCTCGTCGTAGTCTTCGTCGTCGCCGTCGTCGTCCTCGTCGTCGTCGTCGTCTTGGCGTCGTCGTCGTTACCGTCGTCGTTGTCGCCGTGGTCGTCCTTCCTCTCTCGTCGTCTTCGTCGGCGTTTCGTCGTTGTCCCTCCTATTTCGTCGCCGTCGTCGTCGTCGTCGTCGTCGTCGTCGTCTTCCCTCCTCCCTCGTCGTTGTCGTCGTCGCCGTCGTCGTCCTCCCTCCTCCCTCGTCGTCGTCGTCGTCTTCGTTGGCGACGTCGTCGTCGTCGTCTTCGTCGTCGCCGTCGTCGTCGTCGTCGTCGGCGTCGGCGTTGTCGTCGGCGGCGTCGTCGTCGACGTTGTCATCGTCGTTGTCGTCGTCAGCGTCGGCGTCGTTGTCGTCTTTTTCGTCGGTGTTGTCGTCGTCGTCGTCGTCGTCGTCGTCGTCGTCGAAGTCGTTGGAGACGTCGTCGGTGCCGTCGTAGTCGTTGTCGGCGGCGTCGTCGTCGGCGTCGTTGTCGCTGTCGTCGTTGGCGTCGCTGTCGTTGCCAAGTGCCATTTGGTACCCACCGTCACGGTCTTAAGAGGTCTTGCGACCAAGTTGCGGGTGGGAGGGTGGGATGTTTGTACGAGCAGTGGAGAGGACAGCTTCAAGTTGAGCAAGTGATGGATTGCACCAATCGACTGCGCCAAATATGAACCACGTAGTATGCCAGAACACATTGTTTTGGTTCTACGCTGGCTAACATGTTTGACATTTCTGGTGCCCCCGAGGGGGTTATGATAGTGGGCGTGTTGTTCCGTGGTCTGTTATCTTCTACTGAGCGCAGTATGTTATTGCGCGTTTTGTTCTGGTGGAGCAGCGGCGCTGTGTTTTGTATTGCTACGTTTCAAGTGCAATTCGTTGGGTAGCTTTCGTTTTGACATGGCCGTGGTTTCGTTTATGTGTCAAACGCGAACGAGCAATCCCAAGCCACACCATACCACATACAGTCAGGAGTAGCACTGCGCCAAACTGTGTAATGTCGTTTGGGTTCCGCATTTTTTCAGCGCAGTGGAGGTTCAGGTGCTGCCGCCTGTCGTTTCCCGCTCCTCCTGCCATTCCTCCCCCTCCTCCTCCTCCTTCTCCACCTCCTTCTCCTCCTCCTCCTCCTCCTCCTCCTCCTCCTCCTCCTCCTCCCCGCCGAATGGGTCCCAGGCGTATAAGCTGCCGTCAGTTGCCCCCACTCTGTTTTTCCCCGTAGGATGCAACTCGTGGGACGCTCAGGTCAGCATCGGCGCTGGTGTATACCCGTGGTCGAAGACCAGCCTAATCCAGCGGAGTCCCAGCTAATCCGGCTTTATCCCGCCTAGTCCGTCTCAATCCTTCGCTTGCCCGTCCATGATTTGCCTTCATGGCCCCTTCCTCGAGCTCGATAGCTCTCAGCCGCTCCTGCGAAGGCCTCCCAGAAGTCGTTGCCTAACTCTTCTTCTCCTTTTCCTCCGTGTTCCCGTGTCCGCCTCGTCTCCCGGCACGTGTCAAAGAACAAAAAAGCATACACTGCAAGAGATCGCAGCTCAGGCCGTGCAGGCCGTGCAGGCGGTCGCACCTGCCTCCCGGCACGTGCAGGCCGTGCAGGCCGTGCAGGCCGTGCAGGCGGTCGCACCGGTCGTGCAGGCGGTCGCACCTGCCTCCCGGCACGTGTCAAAAAAAAAAACATACACTGCAAGAGATAATTTTGCCTCGCCGTCTGGCCCTCGCGCGCCGCTGCTGCGTGGGCGCGAGATTTCACGAGGAAGTCTGTGCGGCGACCCCCAGGGAAACAATTACAGCCGATTCGGCCAAGAGGGGGCCAGAGCCAAAAAATGGCAACCGAGCGGTGGGGGAAGAGGCAGAGGAAGGCGATCCGACCCGTCGGGCGCAACGCTCAGAGAAGATGAACGGGGGGAAGAGGAGGAGAAGGATGATGGTGGAGAGGAAAGGAGCATTAGGAGCGCGACGCTTCTGGGATCCACGTGCTCATCGCCCGTGAGCGGGTGCCTCCCCCAGCGGCCTCTCGAATAGCATGCGGAACTCGGCCGCGCTTTGCCTGCCAGCAGTCCCATCGTCGCTCGGGTACATCAGCCTCGACCGCCGCGGTCTCGCCTCCCTCCAGGGCGACAGCAGCCTGCCCTCGCTCCAGTGCGTTCGTTGTGATATTACTGCTCGGGGTCGAAGGAGCCCAGGCGGCAAAGGGCCACATGAGAGTAAGCAGCGCGACGAGACCGCCGAAAGTTCATGTTGCGCGATCGTACAACGCTAACACGACAGAGTCCAGCATATACGTCCTGAGTGGAAACAGCTTTCCCCGACATCGGGCAGCCGAAAGTTCATGTTGCGCGATCGTACAACACTAGCCGCGAGTTCATGTTGCGCGAAACTCGAAAACCTTTCAGCTCCAGAGGGCCACACGGAAGCGCAGCATGCATTGTTTGGAGGGCGAGTTCTTGGAAATCCGTTGGAACTGGTTGGGAAACGGTTTGGGTTTCCTGTTCGGAACACGCAGCGTGTAGTTTTTTGTTGGAAGCGCGAGCAGAAATGGGTTCGGAAACTTTCTGTAATCTGAGGGTCGCGTGCGGCGCCAGACGTGCAGCCGAGCCGTCGGGCTGAGCAGCCGCGCCCCCGAGCGCACACTGCGCTTGGCCACGAGGGGTCCGTCCTCGCGAATGGGGCCATTCCACACGTGCCCCTTCCCCAGGGCCCTCCCCCCTCCTAGGGCTCCCTCTGCCTCCCTCTGCCTCTCCTCCTCCTCCTCCTCCTCCTCCTCCTCCTCCTCCTCCTCCTCCTCCTCCTCCCTTCTCCCCCCCTCCCCCTGGCGACGACGGCGCGGACCGCGGCGGCGCGGACCGAGACGGCGGCGTCTGCACCGCGCCCCGGAGGCTTCGCCGGCGACCCGGAGAAGCGCCGCAAGGCCGAGGCGGCCATCTTCGAGGACGCCCCCCTCTCCGGCCCCAGGACCAGGGGCAGCGTTGAGGTTCGAGGTTCGAGTTGCGTTGGGAATCGGCGGTTTTCCAGCCTCGGTGTGCTCTCCGGCAGCTGCGCCTCGCCGAGAGCGTTCCAAGGGTGCCTGGCCTGGATCGTCCCGAACGGCCGCCGGGGCGCCGAGGTAGTGACCTGAGCAACGTTAGGGGGGACTGGCTCAGGGGGGAACGCATCGGCCCCAAATCGCCCATTGATGGCCGACAGGGGCCCGATAGCACACCCCGCCCAGGAAGATGTGGATTTGCCATCGTGGGCCCACTGCCGATCTACCGGCGACGTATCACCGATTCTAGCTCGATGCTTTCCCCCTTAGCTGGACCCCCCCACGTTGTCCTTGCCCCCCTGGGGCGCAGATCCAGGAGGAGGAGGCGGAGGAGGAGGAGGAGGAGGAAGAGGAGGAGGAGGGGAGAGGAGGAGGAGGAGGAGGAGGAGGAGGAGGAGGAGGAGGCGGAGGCGGAGGCGGAGGCGGAGGCGGAGGCGGAGGCGCATGTGGAGGCGAAGGCGGAGGCGAAAGTGGAGGAGGAGGAGGAGGGGGAGGGAGGAGGAGAGGAGGAGGAGGAGGAGGAGGAGGCGAAGGCGGAGGCGCAGGCGGAGGCGGAGGCGGAGGCGGAGGCGGCGGCGGCGGCGGCGCGGCGGCGGCGGCGGCGGCGGCGGAGGAGGAGGAGGAGGAGGAGGAGGAGGAGAGGAGGAGGAGGACGGGAGGATAGGAGGAGGCGGCGGAGGAGGAGGAGGAGGAGGAGGAGGAGGAGGAGGGAGGAGGCGGACGAGGAGGATTTTTGGGAGGAAGAGCAGGAGGAGGAGGAGGAGGAGGAGGAGGAGGAGGAGGAGGAGGAGGAGGAGGAGGAGGAGGAGAAGGAGGAGGTGGAGGAGGAGGAGGAGGAGGAGGAGGGAGGACGCTCACATGTTTTATGTCCTGAACGTGAAGCCTCGTGCTGCAGCTGCGCGGGCGGGGGGCGGCTCCGCTTCTCAGAGCAGGGCTATCGCGAGACGCTGCCTTGAGTTTGTGTTGCCCTCGGAGGGGCGCCAACTACACCACCGCCACTGACCCTGGCCAGGCACCTCCTGGGCCCCAGGGCCCTGGATCGGTGTACAGACCTCCCGGCCTACTGGGGTTCGGCCAGGAAGGCCTGCGCACCAGTCCAGGGCCCACGGGTCGGCCAGGGCTGGCGGTGTGTTGTGTGGAGCTCTCCCAGACCCTGCCTTTAAGGGTGCAGGTCGACCTCCTTGCAGGACGGAGCTTTCGCCTGAATGGCAGGCCTATGGGGCGCTCGTCAGGGGCGCTTCCAGCAGTGAAAAGGCGTACTTGCAGGGACTTGTGTGGAGGATGGGCATCGCTCGGACGTGTGCACGTGTTTCCTGCGAGGACCATCGATGAGCATCGATGATCATCTTGCGAAGGAACATACGCGCGAAGCCGACAGTATGCACGGGGAATGGCCGTCCGAGCGATGGCGAACTATTCATCGAGAGCAAAAGAACCCCTAACCCTGAAGGCACGATGAAGACGTGTCCTCATTTAGGTCCCCGTCTTCGCATTAGGGATAATAGATCTGGGCGGTTGAGTCTGATACATCTGCAGAAAAGACCCCTGTCCTCAATGTTTTTGGCCCTCCTAACTCATGTCCCCTCCCCAAGGGTTAGGGGTCCTTTTGTGGTTACTCAGATGTGGTGCATTGCAGCATTTCTGATTCATCGTGGGCCTGACCAGGCTCTCCTTCCTCAAACCGGACCGACCGGACCTGTCCAGAAGCATGTGTTGTCCAGAACCTCGAAGCGACTCCGGCGGTGACGACGACGCCGCCCCCCCAGGAAGTTCCTCCACGTGCAGAAACGTTCAAAACCCGCGCGATGCTCCTCTTTGTTTCCTCCTGCTGCTGCTGCTCCCCCTGCGGCTCCTCCTCCGCCTCCTCCTCCTGAGCTCCCCCCCCCGGATTGAAATGTCGGCCGCCGCCTCGCTGCCCCCAGCCAGCTCGAGAAACGGAGGCGGAGGCGGCTGGCGGAGCACAGAGCACATCGAGGCGGTTCGGCGGTTCAGGGATAGGAGCATCAGGTGTGGGGGGATGGGGCCTTCAAGACTAGGAGCCTCGAACCTGTGACCCCTTCCTGTCCTTTGGGGTTTCATCCGTCGCGGCCCCATCTTTGTGAATCGCCAAGTGGTGAGACCCGAGAGGCTCATGGAGGCTCGGGGTACAGCTGGCACGAGGGTCTAGAACAGTCCCAGCTTTGAGAGGAGGGAGATTTAGTATCGATGCCGCTGCTTGTCCTGGAGAGCCCTCGCCAGCACGGCCAGATGATCCTCGAAATTCTGGTCAGGATGCACCCCAGGAGAGGTCTGGGGAGTAGAGGTATTGGTATGTTTTTGTCCCCCCGAGCTTAGGAAGGGTACCCTGCAGGTTCTTCGTGACAATTCTTCCCACCCTGGAGTGCTCTTCATTCTGGTATCTCCATGGGATCAGGGGGGTTGCGGCGAAGGAGCTCGTGTTCATGGCCTGCGTTCTTGCGGCCACGTCTTCGACTATTGGGTCGGGCCAGGTCGGGCAACCCTCTGCCTCCCTCTGCACAGCAGGTGGTGGTTCTCCTCCTCTTCCTCCTTCTCCCTCCTCCTCCTTTCATCCTCCTCCTCGTCCCCTCCACCTCCGCCGCGCCCTTCTCCTTCTTCCCCTCCCTCCCTCGTGCGACGACGACGACGACAAATACGACAAATATGAGGACTCCGCCGCCTCCGACGACGACGGCGAAGGTGGCGACGCCGACGACGACGACGAGCCGACGTCGTCTGGAGGCCTCCAGAGGTCCCTGGAGCTTTCTGGAGGCCCTCCGGAGGCCTCCGGAGGCCCGAGAAGGGCCACAAGCAGCCGAAAGCCCTAGAGCACCTCACCCCCTCGCCCCCCCACGAGCCGCCGGAGCCTCGCCACACATCTTCACCTTTGCTGCCAGGGCTCGGAATTTGCTGCAGGCAGGTGCGCACGCAAGCGCGTATCTGTTGCGCGCTCCGCAGCCGCCGAGGTTCGAGCTCAGAGGTCTTTCGACATGCTTGAGGCCAGGCTAAAACGCTCTTCGGTTTAATCGAGCCGCCTTCGGTATCCTTCAGACATATGCTATTTGCGCTGCGCGTCGGCCCACGATGAAACTCAACTGCCCCAGTCGGCTGGGGCGTGCGTATCCCACCGCAGCACATACGGAGGAGGCCGTTTGTGACCACGGCGGCTCTCCCGCCCGGCCCACATCCGCTCAACAGCGGTCCACGTGGTTCATTTCTACTTCTGCGAGAGTGCTTTGATTGTTTGGGGGGGCCAGGCTCCTCTCATTTCCAATTCTTTCCTCCTGGGCCTCCGCCTGGCCACTGGGGGGCCATGCAGGAACAGTTAGAAACGAGCACAATTAGAAGTGAGCACGAGCAGAAATGAACGACGCTTCCCTGGGCTCCTCCGGGGGGGCGGTCCGTCCTGGCTCGCCTCCGAGGCGGAGGCCCGGCCGTGGCGGGGAGGCGCCTCCTCGGAGGCCTCGCAGCGGGCGCGCGTCACCAGGGAGGGCCGCCGTAGGCGGGCCTGCCCCTCGACAGGAGGAGTACAGTGGGGGCCCTGAAGAAGGAACCCTTTTCGTTTGGGAGGGGCTCCGTGCTCCTTACTTGTTTCACAGCGCTCCTTGGGTTTTCCCCAGGTTTTCCATGGAAGCTCGGAGTTTAACTTGTGGGAGAAAGGGGCTTCGTTCCTCATTCATCGTTCCTTAGGTCAGGCCGATGACTGTATGTACATCCAAGAGCAGGGAAACACTAGGCCGGGGACCATTTTTCGACCATGTTTGACTCTTTTTGTGAGCACTCTTTTTCCAATTCTTTGACACTCCTCCTCCAAGTTCCGCCTGTAGGAGGACGTGCCCGACCTAACCGTTGCCTCGACGGGCCCTAACCCAGATGGCACGCCCGAGAGGACCTCGGCCTGGACGCCGCCGCCCTCGGCGGCGCGGAGGAGCCCGAGTCGAGCGCCGAGGAGGGCCAGGAGGACCAGGAGCTCGCCTCGGGGGCCGTGCTCGCGGACCTCCGGCCCGATCGGATCCGAAGTCTCTCCGCCTGCGCAGGCATGAGCCGGATCGGTTCGCGAAGTCGCAGCGGATCGGACACGGGTCGGATCGCCAGCGGGCCGTGCCGAATCGGCTCGGAAGCGGATCGCCGCACGCAGCTCCGGCTGGCCCCAGCCGATGCTGGCGGGTCGAGCCGAGTCGAGTCGAAACTAAATCGCGGCCCAAGCCGGCGAATCGAACCGCATCGAGTCGGATCCTAGGTGGCCCTAACCTCCCCTCTTGCCCCTCCCCCCCCCTTCTTTGGCGGCGCGCACAAGAGGGTGTGGGGGAGGGGGGGGGGAACGCTTCTTAGGAGGATGCTACTTCTTAGGAGACGCTGGCCTCTATAGAGAAGGCCCGCGACTTTTGAGAAGCATAGAGAAGGCCCGCGTCTTCTGAGAAGCAGGGGTGCTTCTAAGAAGCCTTCCCCCCTTCCCCTACAGTCAACCCGCATAATAAGAACAAGCAACCTTCCCAAGGGTAACCTTGCGTCTGTCCCTCCTCGGCCCACCCTTGGCCACTTTTCGCTGGCCGCGCCCCGCTCGAAAATCTTCGAGATGGCCTTCTAAGGCCCTTGCACCCTTGTCTTTCGGCGTCTCTACGATGCTGGCTGACTGTGCCCCCCCTCTGTCTGCGCGCGGCCGACCTCTCCTCGCAGGCGCGCGCGGGGGAGCGAGTGCTCGTCTTCTTGGCGGTGCTCGGAGGGGCGAGGGCGGGAGGAGCACGACGGGCCGGGGCCCTCCAGGGCTCGAGGAGCTCTGGGTCAGGCCGCGCCCGAGAGGAGACTTCTGGAGGAGGGGGGCGAGGCGGAGGGGCCTCCGGGGGAGGAGCAGCAGAAGGAAGAGGGGGGGGGAGAGGGGGGCAGAAGGGGGAGGGGGAGGGGGAGGAGGAGGATGAGGAGGAGGAGGAGGAGGAGGAGGAGGAGGGGGGAGGAGGAGGAGGCAGATGAAGAGCAGAAGATTTTTGTTAGGGAGGGCTCTGCTCGGAATCTTCAGAAGACGCCCGCGCAGGAGGAGTACCCGCTGCCTCCTCCTCCGTTTGTTTTCCACAGCGGGTTCGCACATGGGCCTGGCTGGACAGGGGTTGACATACTGAGGGGCGAGATATTGAAAGGGTTTTGTTTCTGAGGGCGCGGATCGAAGTTTTGAAAAATCCAGACTGGTTTTCTATGTGGGCATCAGGTGGTGCATGTGCGCCGATTGAAAGAATTGACATGCTGAAGCATCCTTGAATCTGGGCCCCCAGAAAGAATTTCTTGACGCTTCGCGCATTCCCACCAGCCTTCTCGCCGCCTGACCTTGGTCTCGCGGCCGCGACCGAAAAAAGCATTCCCACCAGCTGCTTAGACGGCGCGCAGCTGCCTGCGTCGCTCGCGATCAAAAAAGTATCCCCACCAGCCCATGTAGAATCCCTGCCCGTGCGAGCTGCCAGGAGAAGGGACTAAGAGACAGACGTCGTGAAACAAAGCGGGCAACCAGGGTGAACAGAGAGATCTCTGGGAGCAAGCGATGGCCTGGGGCCCGCGTGGGGGCGAGGGAAGCAGGAGGAGGAGGAGGAGGAGGAGGAGGAGGAGGAGGAGGAGGAGGAGGAGGAGGAGGAGGAGGTGGAAGACGACGACGACGACGACGATGACGACGACGGACGACGACGGCGACGGCAGCGGCGGCGGCGACGGCGGCGACGACGACGACGACCTTGACGACGACGATGACGACGAAGGCCACGACCACGACCACGACCACGGCCACTACCACGACCACGACGAGGAAGGGGAGGAACAGGAAAAGGAAGACAACGAGGGCAAGGACGAGGACGAGGAGGACTACGAAGACAGGCAGAGCCCTCAAAATCGCCACTTGGAGCTTTCTTGGGACTCTTTTGGGGGATCATGGGGTCCTCTTGGGGCTCTCTGGGATCTTGGGTCTCTCTTGGTGCCCTCTTGGGGGTCCCTTGGGAGCTCTGGAGGGCCTCTTCGGGCCATCTTGGTGGACATCGATCAAAATGGGGGGCTCCTCGATTAGCCTCCTCCCTGGGGCCATCAAACTTGCCTCATGGGGCTCTCTTGGGGCGCTCTTGGGATGCTTTCGGGCGCTCTTGGGGCCATCTTGGGGCCATCTTGAGGCCTCGAGATAAGGCGCATCGGAAGCGAAACGGCGAGATGCTACAAATCGTTGATGGCCTCTTGGGGCGGTCCTGAGGATGGTCCGAGAGCACTTGGAACCGTCTTGTGGCCCTCGTCGGGCCTCTTGGAAGTATGTTGGAAGCTACCTTGAATCATCTTCGGCTATCTTGAGCCATTGTGGAGGCCATCTTGGGCTACCTTGGGCCCTCTTGGGGCCATCTTGGTAATTACGTCTTGCGCCCCTCGCCCCCAAAGGAGGGGGGGGGGGAAGGTACACCACCCCGAAGGGAAGAGGGCTCTTGGAAGAGGAAAGCAAGAACTTGCTAGACAACCTGAGCCCAAAGGGCTGGTGGGATTTTGAACTATTGAAGTGCCTTTCAATGCGGAGGGTCTGGCTTGAAAAGCGAAATATTGAAACATCATTCCATCCGGAGGTTCTGGATTGACATGTTGCAACATTGAAAGGTCTTTCCAGAGTTGATGTGTTCATTCTGTGGATGCGTTGCCAAGCTTTCAGCTTTTCAATCCAGGCTCTCTAAAATGAAAGTTCTTGCAATATTTCAGCCTTTCAATCTGGAAACTCTGGATTAAGGATCTGGAACAGCCAACTTGAGATCTTTCTGTATCTCAGTATTTCAAGTTTGACCCGGATTCAACGGTCTCCAATCTTTAGATGCTTTCCCGAGCAATGTCTCCCCCCGAATCAAGTAACCCTTCCTCTCCCCCTCCTCTTCCACCTCCTCCCCCAGAGGTCTGGACTCTCTCCCTGGGGTCCCCAGAGCCTGAGGCACAGGTCCACCAGGGGCCCAAACTTGTTCAGACTCGCCCTCACGGTTTCTTTCCACGGTGCGAGGGGGGCATGGGCTCGGGGGTCAAAAGTTGGCTTCCGGGCGTGTGCGTTCGGGCCAGGATTTCGATGCGGATCTGGCCGTGGCCAGGATGGCCCCCGAGGAGGCCCAGAGGCGTCGGAGACCCTCGAGCCTCTCGATCCTCAAGCTTGGGACCTCGAGGGGGTCTGGGTCCCTCTCTCCCTCCCTCCTCCCTCCCTCCCCTCCCTTGGGATCCGACGTCGCGAAGCGGAAAAGCCCCGGGACGGAGCCCTCTAGACCACGTTCGGGGCTCGAGGGACGGGACTCCATGCCACCGGGTGGTCAGCCAGTGCGCCAGATCCTGCAGGATCCTGCAGGGCCACCTAGGGGCGCACCGACTCGGGCTCGGGTGCAGGATCCTGCAGGACCCTGCCGGGCCCCACCGACCCGGGCGGGCCTTCTGCGTGGCCCGGGCCAGCGCGTCCCCGGCGTAGCTTCGAGGCGGCAGTGCTCGGGCGGGGTCGGCCCGGGGGGGCCCCTGCAGGGCTCGAGGCCCGGCGGAGGTGCCGGGCGGGAGCAGGCTGCGACGCCCGGGTCTCAGGGCCCCTGCCGCCCCCCCGGTGATGGTTCGTGTCCGATCCCTTGGCCAGTCTTCACCAGCCTGGGACAGATCCCTGTCCCTGTGATTGGCATCGCCGCATCTCGATGCCGATCTTGGGGGTTCCCTCCGTTGCTGAGGGCGCATCCCCAAGATTGTCGTCGACTTTGGGCTTGTTACTCTTAGGGGTAGGGACACGTTCGAGGCTGGTTCATTCCGGCGAGCCGTCCTCCCGCACCCTGGGTGTAGCCCACAGTGGGCCGATCGGCGCGGCAGTGCCGCCGTCTTGAAGCTCTCGTCGAGCTTGCCTGATGGAATGGGCCTTGACCCTCCAGGGGGCGAAGAGAACCTCAAACTGGTGGCAAGGGAAGAGTCTGCTTGCCTCAGGCGATCGCAAGCATGGATCAATGGGGGCGTGGATTAGCGACGGGTCCCGTCTGCATGGCAAATCGCGGATTTCCGCCGCTGAGCGAGGCGGCACCGGCCGAATTTTGGGGAGGCCACCTCCCCCGGGCCATGGATTTGGCGACCGCGCGCCAAATCCACGGATCGCCAATCCATGCTTGCGCGCCCCCGATCGTATCAGGAAAAAAACACAGACACTTCATCGTCGATTTTAATGAAAATGAAAATATGTGAACATAGAGGAAGTGGGGGGGAAGACAAAAACCCAGAACATGTGGGAACATATAGAGAATCCTGTTATTTGTGTGTGTATTTACTTGCGTGTCCCAGGGCGCCTTCATATCGCCCCCCCTCCCCCTCCCCGTGCTCGGGCGACCAGATCAACGCGTGGGCACCGCCCCTGGCCGCGCCCCCTCCCTGGCCCAGGACCCGTGCCCTGCGCCTGCACGGGCCCGCGGCCCGGGGGAGCACGGCACGAGGGGCGGTGCAGGGCCGGCTACAGTGCCGTTTTTAATTCATGCTCCGCGTGCGGATCATGTATTAAAAATTGCCCTGTACCGTCGTGACGTTTTATCCGCGGGTTTCGGACCACGCTCAGAGGAGGAGAAAGGTACCCATGCCTCTGCCCATCCCTGGTTCTCCCCTCCTTGGGCCTCCTGGGCGGCCCTCGTCGCCGCCGCTGGCTTCGCCTCGGAGTCATGGCCAGAACGCACCCCGGGAGAGGCCTGGGGAGTACAGCGGTATCGGTGCCTCTTTGGAGATCCCCGAGCGCGTGGGTCGCTCAGCATGAAACGGCCGCGGCCGGCCTGTACAGCGCAGCCCGTTCCACGTCGCCCGCTGCTGGGCCACCAGCGGCGTGCAACCTCGCGCGTCCGCGCTGGGGGGTCGCTGCCGCGCCGACGCGGCGCGACGCTGCCCGTGGGTGTGCACGGCCCGCCGCGGCGCGTGGGGCGGGCCGGCGGGCGCCTCTCTCTCTCTCTCTCTCGGCCTGCTCTGCGCCGCGCCGCCGCGCGCACGGCCGCGGCGCCGAGGCAGCGCGCACAAAGGGGGGCCTGCGCGGGAGATCGCCCCACAGGGAGGGCGTGCCTTTCGGGGATCCGTGTTGCACGCTCTCCCTCCGGCGCCAACCGCAGGAAGCACCCCGCCTCTGGAGGAGGCCACGCTCCTCGCGCCACACCCCCTGAGCGCGCCGCCAGCTGCTGCTGCTGCCTCTACCCCCCCAGGGCCCCCGCCTCCCTCCCTCCGCGCAGGCAAAGGCGATCGTTCATCGGAGAAGCAGATAATCTAAAATTCATAATACATACATCTTGTACTAAGAAAACGAGTAATTTTACTATTGCCAGTAACCTCAATAATACATAATCATGAGAAAAGTAGTGCTAGTCGTACTAATACTATTAACAGTAGGTGTACTACTAATGACACATAAGAATCATAGTACTAATATGAAGGATCATGCTCAGCATCGTCGTAAACGTAAACTTGCGGAGGTCCGCGCGGTTTTCTTGGATCGGCGACTGGGACGCCCTGGCGGTGCCGTTGGGTTCGCTCCTGGCGCGCGCCAGGGGCGTAGGCTCGATTCGCCCAAGGCTCGATTCGCCCAGCTCTATTCGGCTGGCTCGATTCGCCTGGGCTCGATTCGCCCGGCTCGATTCGCCCGACTGGCTGAATTCGCTTGGGGCTCGATTCGCCGGCTCGATTCGCCCAGCTCGATTCGCCCAAGGCGCCCGTGAGGGTCCGCCCGCCCGACGCGACCCGCCCGTTAGGGTCCGCGCCGGGCGAAGCGAGCCACGGCGAGACAAGCCCCGGTGAAGCGAGGCCTGGCGAGTGGTCCGCCCGCCCGACGCGACCCGCCCGTTGGGGTCCGCGCCCGGCAAAGCGAGCCGCGGCGAAACAAGCCCCCGTGAAACGAGCCCCAGCAAATCCAGCCTTGGCGAGACGAGCCCTGTCGAATCGAGTCAGGCGAACGGATTCCCGGCGAACCGATTCCTGGCGAACCGAGCTGGGCGAATCGAGTCGGGCGAACCGAGCCCCAGCGAAGCCGGCCCTTGCGAACCAAATCAAGACCCGAACCGAGCCCGTGCCGCGCCAGGCAGGGGAGTCCAGCCGCCGATCCAAGACATCCGCGCGGACCTCCGAAAGGTTGTGTTCATGCAGGTTCTCCTCCTCCAGTCGAGGCCCCCCCTCTCTACCGCCTTCGCCTTCTGCCTCTGCTGCTATCCTTCAACGCCGGCCGTACTCGGCGGCGGGCGAGGAACCGCTTTCTAAGGAGCCGCGGGGCTCCATAGAAGGCAGGGGCCTTCTCAGAAGCTCTACGAGGGCTCCCTGGAAGCCCCTGGGCCCTTCTGAGAGACGGCCCTCGCCTCCTATCAGAAGCCCCCCTCCTCTAAGAAGTCCCCCTTCTGAGAGAAGGCCCTCGCCTCCTCCAAGAAGTCCCCCGCCTTCCCCTCGAGGCCCCCCCCGCGCCGCCAACCGCACACCTTGCTGCCCTGCAGGCCTCGGGCGCGCCGGCGCCCGCGGCGGGCCGCCGGCGCGGCGGCGAGCTCGGCTTCGGCGACCTGCTGGAGGAGCGGGGGCGGCCGGCCGCGGCGAGGTCGTCCCAGCGGGGGCGATCTCGATCGAGGGGGGGGGGCAAGCGTTCGCCAGGGGGGAGGCGGGTCCTGAGGCAAACGGGTCCCGAGGTTTATCGCCGTTTTGGGGCCCTCGGGGCCCTCCGCGGTCCCGAGGACTGTCAAAGAGCGATTCGGGAGGAAGAGCCATGGTCTTGCAGGGAAGGCCCCAGGGTCCAGGACCCGGTTCTCTTAGGCTGGGAATAATCGTCCTCCCTCGCCTCATCGCCCTCCCCTCCTCGCCCTTGTCGTCGTGATCGTCGCGATTGTCGTGATTGTCGTCGTCTTCGACGTCGTGATCGTCGTCGCCCTCGTCTCCTCGCCCTTGTCGTCGTCGTCGTCGTCGTCGTCGTCGCGATTGTCGTCGTCGTCGTCGTCGTCGTCGTCGTCGTCGTCGTCGTCGTCGTCGCCGTCTTCATATGGGGCTCGCGCAAGCGGCCGTGCGCAGTAAGAGCTCGCCATAGTTGTGCTGAGCTTGTCCGGTGTTGGCCGCGCGTTGGATTATCTGCGCACTAATGTTATGTTCGGTGTGTTGGATATTGTTGGGTGGTTAGCTCTCCCATCGAATTATCCTTCCTGGGCAACCCTGCACGACACAGGAAGTTTGAGTTTCTCTTTCTGTGCAAGGAATGCATCATAATTTGCTACATCTCAAATCGGGTCGGCGCGTCGTCTTTGTCGTTGTCGTAATCGTCGTCGTCGCTTTCATACGAGAGTCGCGCAGGTAACCGTACGCAGCGAGAGCTCGCCATCGATGTGGTGAGCTTGTGTTGTCATTGCCGCGTGTGGTGTTCTCCGTGCTGGATTCCTATTGATTGCTACCGATTCCTCTGTATTATTTTCGCTGAGAGAGAGAGAGAGAGAGAGAGAGAGAGAGAGAGAGAGAGAGAGAGAAAAAAAAAAACAAAAAAGAGAGAGAGAGAAAACAGAGAGAGAGAGAGAGAAACAATAAAGAGAGAGAGAGAGAGAGAGAGAGAGGGAGGGAGAGAAAGAGAGGGAAATAGAACAAGAGACAGGAGTGGAGGAGGAGGGGGCCATTTCTCTCGCGCGAAGCTCTTTGGTTGTTTGAAAGGGTCACCCAGATTAGTGGTTTCCCGCTGGACTTGATGACTTTTCAATGACAGTCACAGGTTCCCTTATGCTCGATCCAGCTGGATATTGATGGATATCCGTAAGGGCTTCGCCTCCTGCCGCCGGCCCCCTCTCTCGGAGAATGGGCCATGGAAGAGCAGGTTTTGGACCCCTGACCCCGCGGATCTGCGTGAGGGGTGGCACCGAATTTCAGAAATATGGCAAATCCCGTTTGTTTTTGGACCCTGACCCCGCGGATCTGCGTGAGGGGTGGCACCGAATTTCAGAAATGTGGCAAATCCCTTGTGTTTTTGGACCCTGACCCCGCGGATCTGCGTGAGGGGTGGCACCGAATTTCAGAAATGTGGCAAATCCCTTGTGTTTTTGGACCCTGACCCCGCGGATCTGCGTGAGGGGTGGCACCGAATTTCAGAAATGTGGCAAATCCCTTGTGTTTTTGGACCCTGACCCCGCGGATCTGCGTGAGGGGTGGCACCGAATTTCAGAAATGTGGCAAATCCCTGTGTTTTTGGACCCTGACCCCGCGGATCTGCGTGAGGGGTGTCGATTTTGAGCCCCCCCAGCAATTCAGACAACGCGCCCAGGTGGTGCTAAAAATCTGGTTTGGGCCTCCCTCCCCTCGCGCGGTCAATCAACTAGTTACAGTAACCAGCAAGAAGCAGAACTGTAACACTGGAAACTACAAACTACAACTGGTACTGGAAACTGCGAATCACGGGCCTACAGCCTGGTGGTCTCACAAGGGGGCCGGCGGATTGTTGGATGGTTTTCTCTGGCCTGCCCCCCTCCCTACGGAGGGGGGGGGGGCAGGCCAGAGAAGCGTGAGAAGCGACGACCCGCGACCGCTGGCGATTCGACAAATCTCGACACATCATTTGTTGTCAAAGCCGTCGGCCTCTGGAGGACCAATCCGTGAAGTTGACCGACTCGGGGTAAACGCCACACCCTCAGGAAAGGGGTCGTCGAGAGTTCCAGGGGCCAGCAGGTCGACAAGCCAAGCCGTCGGAGGTCTGGTGTTGACGGACGCAGCAGCCACAGCGTCAGGCACCACGGGCAGCGCAGGCAGCACCGGCAGCATCAGCAACGCCAGCGGCAACGGCAGCATCTATAGCAGCAGCGACGGCAGAGGCAGCAACGGACATATGATTTCAAGGTGGCCCCACCAGAATTGTGAGTGGATCGCATGCGTTCCCCCGTGGCCCCAACATACCCCTCCCCGCGAAGCAATGGCCCAAATACAATTCGACTTTAGATCGAACCCTTCGGCCCTAAGAGAGCACCGAGACGAGCCGCTGGCTCTCCGACTGAACTAAGGCTTCCGCGTGACTCCGATTTCACCCTGAGTGGGCTTCGAGATGAGCCCATGACCCTCAGACGACTTCGAGTTTGCCCCAAGATGGTCTCGTGAAGTCGGTTTGACCCCAAGATTGCCCCCAAGATGGCTCCAATGTAGCTCCACTGCGCTCCTCTCCTCCTGCCCTTGCTCCAGGCCTGGTCCTACAGGGCGGATGGGGGTTCTGGCCCTCCGCCTCCTCGTCCCCCTCCTCCTCCTCCTCCTCCTCCTTCTCCTGCTCGTCCTCCTCCTCCTCCTCCTCCTCCTCCTCTTCCGACGAGCCCAACTTCGGCAACCCCGAGCTCGAGCCCGCCCCAGCCGCACCTGTCTTTGTTGCGTCTCTTGCTCGCTCGTCACAGTCAGAAGCTGAGCCAGCTCGAAGTAATTCATTCCCCTCTAACCCCCAGAGCCCCGATAAGCCCGACAGTACGGAGGACGGCAGTTCCCAGTCTCAGCAGGGGAGCTCCCAGACCCAGGATCCTGACACCCCAGGCTCGTGCTCTGGTGTTGCGTTTGAGGTGCCTGAGGAAACGTGGAGCCAGGCCAGGAAAAATATTGGGTTCTCTCCGAACTCATTCAGTCTCCCTGCGCCTGCTGTTGCGTCGTCCGTAGCATTTCGGCTAGGAGCCCAGTCAGGTTTCTCTGCACATATCAGTTCACTTTATTGTAGTTGGATTCGGTCCGTTGAGCTGGCGATATACACGCATCACCAGCAGACACCACCTACATTGAGTCGTGGACAGTCGGTGCAGTTTCGTGTATGTGAAGTCCATCAGTCCAAGCCGCAACGCATCCAGCCACTTCGTGACCGTGTCGCGGGCTGGTGGGCTCGAGTTGCAACAATCGTTCGAACATATCTCAGTCATCGTCAGCGGCGAAACGGTGACAAGCAACAGTTGATTCTCACAGCAGCTGCGCGCAACCTCATGACGCAGTGCCCTGACGAGAGTCACAGAGTGGTTCGTAGAGGTGATCGTATGAGATGGTCTCAGTGGCACGCGACCTTGAGTCGAATCAGCGAGCTTAATATCGATGAACTCAAGGAGCTCGACGCTGACGCGACGCGGCTTGCGCGTCGTAGCCAGCAAAGGGCAGTGCAGAGATCGATGCAGGAGTTTCGAGAGTGGGCCGAGACAACACCTGCAGTCGGGGCGCTTCACAAATCCATCCGTGATCAGAAGCTCCCTGACGACACCCTTGAGATCGGCCCTAAGACGTTGATTCACCCAAAGGATATCATGGATGCCAAGACTCAGCACTGGGAACGGTTCTGGAGCTCAAAGGCGGATGATGAGTTTCAGCAGATTTCCGAGATGTTGGTCGACATACGGCAGCGGATCCAGGGTGAGTCTCTCATGCCACTAGGAGTTTCGGACCTTCGTGAAGCGCTCAGGAGCATGAAGCCCAACGCTGCCATGGGCGTCGACCGAGTTGGGAGTCATGATTATGATAGGCTACCCGACGCGGCGATCGACGAACTTGGCGAGATCCTCACGCTCTGTGAGCTACACCAGGTGTGGCCGCATCAGGTCCTTCTCACCTTGGGCACTCTCTTACCCAAGAAACTATCAGGTGATCGAGTGATAGGCTTGCTCTCGCACCTTGGCCGCATGTGGTCTCGAGCTAGAGAGGTGCACGTCCGCACTTGGACCGACCAGTGCGAGGCGCACTGGGACGCCGCTGTGCGCGGCAACGCGTACTTCGCGAAGTTTTTCTTCGGGCAGTGGACGAAGAACTCGCAGTCAAGCTCGGGGCCTCCGCGGGCCATGGTATGATCGATGTGGCGAGCTTTTACGATGCAGTTGGTTGGTTCAGAATGGGCAAAGCCGCACTTCGTCTTTCGTTTCCACCCGAGGTATTAGGCCTCGAACTTCAACAATGTATGGCTGCACGTTGTGTTCGACAGTCAGGAGCATATGGAGCGCCCTTCGTGCCGACACGCTCCATCGTGCAAGGACTTAGAGGTGGTACGCGTTTCGGAAAGTGTTCTACATATTACGTGCTACAGCACATCACTACAGTTCATGTCAATATGTCTCATCGAATATGGGTGGACGATTTCAGTCAAACGGTACATGGGTCGAGAGCTGCAGTTCGTGCGAAAATGGTTTCGTGCTTAGCCGACGCATGTGCAGAACTGGAGCGGCACGGTCTTGCAGTCTCCCCAAAATCAGTAGTTCTGTGTACACATCTGGATGATGCTCGTGCTGTGGTGCGCAGGCTGGCGGCCAAAGGCTATCGCCTCAAGGTCGCCAGCCAGGCCGCTTACCTTGGAGCGAACCTCTCAGGAGGAAAGCGGCATGGGCGTGCCACTCGACGTACGCGTGCAGCCAAGCACACAGCCATGTCCAAGAAGATCGTAGGTTTTGCGAGAGCGACTCGCAGGTATCGAATGCCCCGCCGCCTTGAGCTGCAGGGCGCCCAACCTGCTGGTCTGCACGGACATCAGTTGCACGGAGTATGGGGGGATCAGTTGCAGCGGGCTCGTCGCAAGTTGGCCAATGCGGTGGGACCTAGACTTACTGGCAGATGT